CAGAACTTTAGTTGTTAAAAATTCAAAATATCAATGGTTTTATGCATTGAAACGGAGAACTGCTAGCATATGGGCGGTATTTACGTTGTTTGTACTCCGTAAATAGGATGACCATGTTTTGTAAATAAGTTGAAGTATTTGCTGGGATCATGTACAGTTGGTAGTGTAGTTGGGTAAAAAAGTATTAGGGTTAGTTTATCCTCAAGACCGAGACTTATACTTCAAACTCTGCCACATCAGATTTCCACTAACTTTTAATTACTTTTTTTTATTATTCAGACTCATACAAGACTTTCTCCAATTTCACACATTATTCCAAGACCCACTCCAGATTTACTTATCCAATTAATATTTATAACATTAATTTATTTATATATTTATTAATTATTTTAATATGGTGAGTTGGCAACTCATTATTGAACAACAAAATTATTTTTGTCCATTTGTATAGTTTCAAAATGGGTTTTAGAATCCAAAACTCATCTCAAGAGTCAAGACTATATGTAGTCTTGATAAAGATTATTGCTAGAATCTTGCTCAAGACTTATCTAAAGACTCATCTTAAGACTAGGGATAAACTTACCCTTACGATGGAAGCAAAAATGTAACGGGCTAGTTTGGAGAAAGTGGGAAAGTGAAATGGTACATTTGATATCCAAAATGACACTTTCTATGGTTATAGTGGTACTTTTAGTGTATTATTATCCATGTATACTATACTATTAGATTATAGATTGTCTTAGTAGTACTATTATATCTAGTGATACGATATTTGTTATACAATTTACATACTTATTTGTAGGTCCAGGAATATGTTTTATACTGTATCCTTAACATGGCTCCGATACCATGTTAGAGGACCAATTCAACCAAAAATTTAAGCTGATGGTTGAGGTCTAGGAATATGTTTTATACTGTATCCCTGTTAATTTACGTTTCTACCCTCCTATTTACAATCCAAGTCTATACCGCCTAGATACAGTCCATTAAAACGGGCAGGTGGCAAATATGCTCTCAAATTAAATCACGTACTCTAAAGTTAACTAACGGTGTGCTTAAAGCCTTAAATATATATATATATATATATATATATATATATATATATATATATATATATATATATATATATATATATATATATATATATATATATATATATATATAAAGTCTCTATTCACTTTCTAGTTTCAACTTGTAATTGATTTTATTCTTTTTGCACGAAAATGAAACATTTATTACTCTTAGAAAATTTAACCACGAAATTAAAATTAAAAGAGTAGAGTGCTGTTGTACAGTAAAAATATAGTAGAGTGCAGATAGAGGTAGTCAGGTAGAGTTAAGTCTGGCAAAAAGAGCAGCTTTTGGTAAAATCAGAAGATAATTGCTAAAATAGTAAGCAAAAGATACGATCCACAGTTAAATAAATTTACTTAATGCCTAGATTCGTGCCCATGTTTACAGTCAAGTAAGTACGCTGTAAGTGTGACGTTAACACTCACTTTTCCACTCTTACTCATATCCGTACCATTTCCACTCTGCTCAACTTCACTCTTTTTTATTTATTTATTTATTTTATTTTATTTTACTTCCATAATTTATTAAACTGTTTGTCCTCAGTGGACCGTCTTTCTGATTTTTATTTTTTGGTAATGGTGAAAGGGTTTTCGAGTTAACAAGGAGTACTCTTCTACGGAGTACCAAAATTAAAGTAGGTTTACGGTAGGAGTGTAATTTTATTGTACAATACTCCCTCCGTTTTTAAATACTTGTTTTTTTTTTTTCTGGCTGTTTTTTAAATACTTGCTCCATTTTCTTTTTTGAAATTTTTTTACAATATATAATTCATTTCTCGCACTTAGTGGACCCAACATAATACTCTCTATCCTCCTATTCTTCCACTACTTTTGCTTTTTATAATATTTTATTCTATCAACTACCCCACTACCTCTTTATTTTATTACTTTCTTCAATTTCTCCTAAAACTCCGCGCATGGAGAAATGGAGCAAATATTTAAAAACGGAGGGAGTACTTTCTTTTCATCTCCGGAATTTAATTAGTTATTCCCTCCGGACCTTCGTATTTTAATTTATACTTTCTCTGTCCTTTTTTTTGGCTTTACTGGACTTTTTACGGTATTCGAGACACGTGTTAAAACGTATATATCTCAAGATCTATAAGTGTAAAAATTATAAAAACTTGATATTAATAAAATATATAATTCGACAAAGTGGAATGCTAAATACCGCCGTCCAAATTTATCGCCACCATCATCATTTCGAGCAAACTGACAATTTTGCCTTTACTAAACCCAAACCCATCTTTGACCCTTATTTTTTTTTCTCTCTCCTCAAACACCAACCACTCACCTTTTTTACCACACAACCACATATTTGGGGTTTACCGGGAAGAAATTGGCGGCGAACTCAGGCAACGGCGGTGGCGCGATCTCAAGCGGTGGAGTCGGCGCGGACTTAGACATCGGCGGCGGAGACAGCTACGGCGGAAAGGAGGTAAGTAATTTCCGATTAGTTTTATTTTATGAAATAAGTGGATGGTAACCGGAGGTGAAAACCGGTTGCCAACACCGGTAACCGGCGACCAAATCCGGTTAACCGCGCCGGTAATCGGTTTTCACCTTCGGTTACCGGTGGTGGGCAACCGGTTTTCACCTTGGGTTACCGTGGTGGGCAACCGGTTTTCACCTCCGGTTACCGGCCACACCATATTATTTTTTTTTTTTAAAATTGAGCAAATTTTGAATTAGGCTCCGATTACCGTCCATGGTAACCGGTTTTGGCCTCCGGGTACCGTGGACGGTAACCGGTTTTGACCTACGGTTGACCACATTAACCGGAGCCCAAAACCGGTTACCGTGGAGCTCCGATTGATCCTTGATTCTTTTTTCATCAATCCACCTCGTTCACTATCCCTTTCTCGTCAACTTTTGTCGTCGTTGTGGACGTGCGGTGTAGAAGGTGGTGGTTGATACGGTTGTGGTTGATGGACTAATGTTACAGAATGAAAATGGGAAAAAAAAGTAAGGGCAAGATTGTCAATTTGCTTGAAATGATGGCGGTGTCGATAAATTTTGATGGCGGTATTTAACACCCCCCTTCGACAAATCGACCAAGATCCCACTTGAGTATATTATCTCTTATACATTAATGGGAATTTGCGGTCAAAGTTATTAAAAGTTGACTCAAAAATTAACTATGGGGCAAAAAAAATAGGGAAAGAGGGAGTAGTTAGTAGAGCAGAGTAAGGGCCCGTTGTCATTGGCTGAACTCAGCTGATTTGAACTGAATATTTTATAAGAGAAATAAATTAGAAGCTGAAATGAACTGAACTTATTAGAGCTGAACTGAACTGTAAATAATCGTATGAGAACAGTCGCTAAATCATAACAATTCAAAAGAACGGAACCTAAATTAGGTTTAGCTATTTGGGGTATAGTTTTATTGCACCCCGTTTTCTTTTCCAAAATTTAATTATGTATCGTTTCACTCTGTTAGGATATCAATAGTGAAGGAAAAAGGGAGGGAAGGAAAAATAAGGGAGGGAGGGAGAAGATGACTATTGAAGTATATTATTACCAAATAACACACGCAAGCATCCCACATTGATAAAAATTAAGAGAGTTAAAACACTTATAAGCTTAAGGGGCCAAACTTCCTATAGCCATATAATTTTGGCATGAAAACTCATTTAGTCTTGTGAAGTGGATTCTTTTTTTTGGTTGTGGGTGCAGCTCAAACTTATACCTCCTCTGTTTCTTTTTACTTCAACTTTTTTTTTATCACACTTATCAATGTATTACGATCAATAACTTTATTTCTCCATAAGTAAAAATTATAAAAGTTATATATTATGATATTATTTATTGAGACAAATTCAAAACGATCACATATGAGTATGTTTTTCCTTACATATTATTCACAAAAGACAGTCAAAGGAGAGGGTGATGAATAGTGTAAAAGTCAAAGCAAATCAAGTAAAAAATAACGGAGGAAGTATTTAACCACGACCTTTCATTTTCCTTCCAAGTTTGGAAATGGCTGAGTAATTATAGTTATTCTCCAAAGGGTAGAATATGGGTGGGATGGCTTCATCAAGATGGGGATTTGATTTATTAAAAGGGACTAGTGACAAGTGAGTATTTAAAAAAGTGAAAAAGGGTTAACAAAAAAAAAGTCAAATCGGGTACCCTTTTAGAGTGAAAAAAGTGAGACTTGTTGGACTAAGAGTCTGTTTACTTCAGCTTAATTTCAATTTAATTTAATTGAGGTCCAAGGAGTTCAGTTCAATTTAGATCTTAATTTCCTTCTCTCATAAAATATTCATTTCAACTCAGTTAAGTTCAGTTCAGCTACAATAAGTTCAGTTTAGTTCAGTAAATGTGAATAGACCTTAGTTCTTTTATAAATAAAAATTTAAGTTTTAAAAAATAAAAGTGTGTCAACTAAAATGAGATGACTCTATAAGAAAATATGTCAATCGAATGGCAATGAAAAGAGTATTTCCTTGAACATTTTTTTTTCTTGTTTATGAAAACAAATGTCATTATACATTTATGCCCATATGAGCGCGATAATTATTTTGAAATAGATGAGGGTGTAATGCAATTTGAACATTTAAGTTATTACTCAAACTTTTGCAAGTATTCATGAGTAGAGGGAATAAACACACACTCCTTGCATACGAGACGAACTATGAGATGAAGGGAGTACATTTCATGTGAAGAGTAATTTAGTTAAATTTGATATATTATGGTGTTAGGCCTACGTGTCTTGTGGCTAAATGAGTTATGTCTAAAGTGAGCAAAAATTAATTGTATTGTGCCAATGTATCACAAACAAAGCCCAAGCGTGGATTGACAATTTGTTGTGCCAGGCATGGTTCCCCTTTTGTAATTTTGTTAAATTGGTACAAATAAACACTGCCTATTGTGTTCATGTCAAGTTTGTGTCAACATTTAAAAATTATGCTCATATACAACTGATTATCCACCAATTTGTATCGTATTGAACTTGTGACAGACTTGTATTGATTCAAGATATTTTTTATACATTGCTTTAAGAACAAAGTTTGCGCTTGCCTGATTCTACTCATTCCGTCTTTAAATTTTAATTTAAATAAATAAGATGCTCAAGTTTAAATTCAAATTTTCAAAGAGCATTAAATAATGGATCCACCCACACAACATCATAGCGGGAGAAAGTACATACATAAATTGGAAAAAAAAAGTTGTAATATAACAATTTGGTAAATAAAAGAAGAACAAAAAAAAAAAGGGTGAAAATAAAAGAAAAAAAATGAAAGGGTGTCGGCCTCAACTTTAAAACGCAAAGTTAGCGTAAGAACATTTCCGTGCTGTCTCTCACTTTCACTCTTTCTCTCTTCTCTGCCTAACTCACACTTCTCTCTCTCTTTTATTTCTTTCCTGTTTTAGGAAACGTGTGGTTGACATTTCCATTTTCGATTTTCTCGAACAAACTCAAATAAAATAAAATTAATTTACTATTTTTCTTTTCTTTTTCCATTGTCACTACTGTTACAAGCTTAACTCAGATTATATACAGTTATATAATTTCTTTTACTGTTGCTCTTTTTTTCTTCATTATCCATGGTACGTTATCCTTTCCCCTTCTCTTCCTTTTCGGCTTTGGTGAGATCGTCTCATACTAAATTATTATTATCATCGAGTTTTATTTCTTTTGTAATAATAAGTTATTGTGAGAGTGTCTTGCTTTTAGGATTATCATTATTATCATCAGGTTTTCTTTCTTCTAGCTACTGTTATTATCTTGATTTGTTGAGCTTTATTACGTTCGTTAGAACTTAGAACTAGATCTACTTTTTTTTTTTTTTTTTTTTTTTTTTTTTTTTTTTTCTAACTATAAAAAAAAAAATAGAGCATGAAAAAAATTTAGGGTTTTTGGTATGATGATGATGGGTTAATTAGTATTCTTTCAGAAATATTGACTATTTTTTTGTTTACACTATTACCTTTGTTGAAGCCTTTTAGTTTTTTTTTTTCTTCAATTATTTTTTTTAAAAAAAATGGGTATGATTTTATTTTTGTGGTTTTAGGAGTATTAGCTTGCCGACAGCAAAGCTGTACTATGTGGATGATATAGCTCTTTGATGTTATGATATTTTCTTTGTTATGGTTTTTTCTCTCTCTATTACATTTCCACTATTTTTTTTTTCTTTTTTTAAAAAATATTCTTAAATTTTTTTCTTATCAATATTGTCACATTTTTTTTTTGTGAAGGTTTGAAATTAAACATTTGAGAAGATCAGTTACTATAATTCACTGATATGGAAATGAGCAACAATTTCATGCCGGAGTTACACGTGGCTCAACAACGGCGGCGAGATAAGCTTAGAGTTCAACATCTTGACGAACTTCAACATATGAATAGTTTTGATCACCTTCATAATAGCAATAGTAACACTACTACTTCTTCTATGATGATGCTTTTACCGTCACCGGAGATGTTGAGTTTTACTTCGGCCTCGAACTCGTTTCCTAACATCCACCCAACTCGATTCGTAACCCCTTCGAGCTCCGATTCGTGCGACCCTCAGCAGTTGCCGCCGCCGAGGTGTGATGATAATTGGGTACAGAGGCATGTTTCGCCTGCTGTACCGCAGTTTATGGTTCAAACTCAAAATCATCCTCATGAAATTCATTCTTATCAACAGGGTAATTGTAATGTTCATCAAAGTTGGGGGGATAATAATAATAATAATAATAATAATGGTGGGAGTAATGAACTCCCTTTACTTCCTTCGAATTTCGTTAATCAGTCTAATGATGTTGGATCTCATCCTCACGGCCAAGGGCTGTCTTTATCGTTGTCGTCGAATCAATTATGTGAGTATCGTCATCTAGGAGGTGATCCCCCGGAGTTAAAGCCGTTCGAGTCCGGTAGCATATTGTCTGTTGTTAAGCAGTCTATGAGCAGTGGTACTGCCACGTTAGAATGTGGTACTGCTAATAATAATACCAATAATCAGGTTCAAGATGTGGCCGGAAGCTCGATTCAGGTGCACCGAAATGTCGGTCCACTCGGGCCATTTACCGGGTATGCAGCTATATTAAAGAGCTCTAAGTTCTTGAAGCCGGCTCAACTGATGTTGGATGAGTTCTTTAGTGCTGCTAGTTTATCGAGAGGGGGTGAAGAAGTGGAGAATGATCAGAGTTTAACGATTTCGAGGAGTCGTAATGTGGGTGATTGTTCTACTGTCGTGGCCTCGAAAATGGATGGATCGAATGAATTGAGTTGTAAGAGTTCCTCTTGTGAGTCTTACAGGCCGGATTGCCATGAAAGGAAAGCTAAACTTCTTCACATGCAAGAAAAGGTTTGTTTCCTTTTTCCTTGCCTTTATAATTTTGTTTATCTTCTAAATGTTTTATTGTTCTTGTTTTTTTTAAGTATAATTATATTCAAGAATATATGATTATCTCCGTGCATGTAAAATGTGTGTATGTGTTATTTAATAAATCGTACACAATTTAATTTCAATTGTTGGACTTGTTACTCTTGTGAATTATCAAGTTTACCAATGTTTTTCCAACTTGTTTCGTCACAAAGAAATAGTGTACATTTTACCGAGTATTTTGGTTAAACTTTGTCAACTTTGACTATTAATGTTGGTCGTAACATAAGGTACACAATACAAATTATATGAAAGTTATTACAAGTGTTACCATTAATAAATTTTGTCGTAATATAAGGTACACAATACAAATTATATGAAAGTTATTACAAGTGTTACCATTAATAAATTTTGTCGTAACATAAGGTACACAAATACACAATACAAATTATGTGAAAGTTATTACAAGTGTTATCATTAATAAATTTTGAAAATTTTCCTTTTTAATTAACTTACAACATGTTTTGTTAAGTCTGTGAAATATTATTGGCCTCAAATATATATGTATTTATTATTATCCGGACTATAGTTATGAAATGAGACTAAAGTTTTTGGTATTTGATGGGATGATTTTATTTGGTTATGAAATATTGATGGTTTAAATTTTGGTTACTTGGTCAGTACAAATCAATCTTTGTTTATCATCTTGAAGGGCTGTAAGCCTACAGTACCAACAATATTTACAATAGTTAAAATGAACCAATGAGAGTTGGATAAATCTATTAAATACTAGTTGTGATAAACTGATAATTCAACTACCTGTTTCTTCCCTACTGATTTTGTCTTTGTTTCAAACTGATGTCTATCCCGGCTCCCACTTGTAAAATTAATAGCGATGGTTGGCTATCGATCTCTTTTTTTTTTTTTTTTTTGTTTTTTTTTTGTCATGTTTAATTAGAAAACAATTTTTTCGTGTACACTGCATGGAAGATGTATTCCTTCAGCGAGTTTTATTATGATTTGCCCCCAACTTATAACATGTTTTATGTCTATCTATACATAATTTTGATTATTGAAAACAACTTTTATGCTTCAAAATATGTATGCTATGCTTTCATTTGCTTGAGGTTGGAGTATAATAATTGCATATTATCCAAAACTGGAATGTTTCCAGCTTCATAAGCTATTTAATAAATTCATTGTTAAAGAAGCTAAAATTTGTTTGTTGATGATTTTAACTTGTTCTAATAAAATAATTATGTTAAAAAATGAAAAATCTCCTTGTCCACATAATCTTTGTTCGGTCTCCGCTCCAAATTGTCCATGCAGGATAATAGTCTTTTTCTTATGATATTTGTGTTTACATGATTTGAACATTTCATTCTAATTAAGATCCCTCGCACCCATTTGTGCTTTTAGACATGCTAGCTAGGGTGTAATAGTTTTGTAAATCCATTGCATTATTGTTTAATTTTGTTTGATCAAATGTAAAATTAAAGCATGACCGCGACATAATTAATTTTGTTTCTGCTTATGTTTGGAATCTAAAAGGTGACATATATCATGTCTGTTGTTGAATAAAGTATTGAAAGGGAAAATGATATATACAATGAAAGTATGCAAATTATATGCTAGAACTTTTTATATTTTTGGAGGTTTGCTTCCAAATTTTCTCGTCAATTCCTGTTGTACTACTTTTGCCTTTTGTGGTTTGGTCATGAGTATACAGTAATGCTTTCCTTCGAATGTTTCGTAAGTGGAATTATCTTGTCATATTAAGGATAAAGAATCAGCCACATACTTATAAATGACATTTTATGTTTTTCTAGTATCTAACCTACAGATGTGGTTAAGTATAGGAATATTGTGGTGTTGTTTTCTTATTAAATCGCTTCTATCAAATTGGCACAATTATTAAATTGCATCAGATATGGTTATCATGGAATGTTATCTTTCTTAGTTTGGTAGTGGATTGAAAAGTTTTATTCGGTTTATGCAATGGTTTAAAGGGTTAATCTGCCCAAACTGCATTTAGGTATGATTTACAATTTGCAACTGGTTCCTAGCAAATATTATAATATGATAGAATCGGGTTCCTAAATAGATTATGATTATAACTTACAAGTTACACTTCTTATAATAATTCAAACAATTCTTTTTTGTTTTGGCTGAAAAAAGTTGAAACTTGTTATATTTGCTTATCGAAGCTAAATCATGAATGCTTTAGTTGCTTGTCTTAGGCCTCCATTTGGTACTTTTGTCTTAAAATTATATCATTTGAGTACGTAATCAACATTTGAAGGGTATAGTCCATTAAGAATATTTGAAAGGAGAATTTCTACCCCTTTAATAATTGTTGGAATATATTCAGCACTACTAAAAAACTTGTTAACACTATCTTGTAACAGTTTTCTACTGTTGCTGAATTTTCAATACAAAATTTTATTTCATTTTTATGCTTTTTTGTTTGATGAAATAGGGGAGAGGGAGAACATTGTGCTCAAACTTGTGATTGCCTAACATGTACAGTAATTTTGTGTTCAAAGTAAATATTATTACGAATTTGTGATGATTTGAGAATATATTATTAGATGAGGCTGAAACAAAACCTAACAAAATGGTTAATGACCTCGAGGTCCTCAATTTGTGCATCAAGCAGCCTTGCTTGCTTAGGATATGTGTTTTTAACATTTTTCCATTTGTTTTGCAATTTTAATTTTATAAAGTGGATTCAAAACTAATCTATGTGATCAGCCTCTTCTGTTTTGGCCGAGTGCTTCAAAAACCAAGCTATGTGACTAGGTACAATAAGTACTAGAACTTATTGTAACTACTATGACAACTTTCAATTTTCCCATTGTTACTTAGACTCGGATGAAGTGTCAATTTAGACACGGGTGTTCAAGCATCGGACTCGCCCATTTTCTTGAAAAAAGTTGTGTTTTTAGTTAAAAATGAAGTGTCCAAGTGTCGGTGCCCGACACGAGTCGTGTCGACACGGACACGTGAGGTAAATGAAAGAGTCCGAGTAACATAGATTTTCCCTTCAACCCGTCAGGCTTTTTGTGGAATTTCTTGAAACTCCAGGGTGAACTTCTTCTAAAATTACGTGGTTTGTTAAGGTTTACTTGATATTGAAATATGACTAACACTGCAAAAATTTGGGGCTTTTATTGCGTTCTTTTAGGTTTTGTTGGCAGTGAAGGTTGAAAGGACAACAAACATAAGAGGGCAAAGTTGTGGGATGTAGTTGAGTTTTATTATTTGGGTTATTGAGTTAATTCGTGAATTATTTGCTCATGAGTTCCCAAATGGATTTTCTTAATGCATGCAATATAGTGAAGAAACTTAAAGGGTTTAGGCTTGATGTATTTTACAGTTGTTGTCGGTCATTTTGTAGCTTTAACCACTTTCTTCTTATTCTTATCCTTGCACATTATATTCCATGAAGATGGCGGATTATGAAGGTATTTGTATGTTGGCATCCTGTAAGGAAAAAAGTATCATGGGCAGTTTTGGTGTTGGATATTGAAAATATGATGTTCAATTCATTGTTAATTAGCCAACAAGCCAACCTATTATCTTAAGAAATCAAACTTTGAAAACACCCTTAACCAAGCAATATGAAGCTTGTGATACTAGGTTTATGCGAAGTGTTAAACAAAGTAAACAATAATTCCACCTACATGGTAGCAAGGATGATTTCTGCTATACCATTAGCTTCTGATGATGATCTATTATGCTCCGTTATGGCTTGCTTAACCAATAACATTTTTAAGAGTTACTTGTTTTGGATCAATGTTCTAATTTGTTTATGTCTAGAAGTAAAGCAATTTTTTGTGTAATATGCAAGGTTTTTACAAATAGTCAAATATAACAGTATTCGAGCTGCTACGTCAATTAAGCATAAGCAATAAATTAAATGCGTGCATTGGGAGGGCTTTGTTTCCTGGCTCTGAGGGCATTCCAACCCTACGTCATTTGGTTGTTTACGTACTCATCTAGACTGTTCTTTGTAAATTGGTTGTTGGTTAGTAAAATGTTTTGTCAATTATTTGATGGCAACGTATTATTTTGTTGAACCTTTTGTTTAGTTATCTTGTAGTTGTTACTTTTACAAAAAGTATTTGACTGGACATTTCATATTCAAACTATTATTTTTGACTTTGTGTGCCTCTTCTAAAGATTCTATAACTTGATTACTTGACCAACTGTATGGTCTTTAAGTCGGAATCTGAGTATTGATTGGCATATCTATATGTATGATTGAGTGTTTTAGTAATTTTATTAGCTCATAATTACTCAATGTTTTGTTGAATTTGCAAGTTTTAGGGATTTGAACGAGGTTGGACTTTCTTTCGTGCTGTGTTATTGGTTTAACAATATATGACAATCAATTCTAATACAAAAGTCTCCTTTTAAACTTGTTTATTACATATGTAACACATCCAAATTTGTAGCTGTTGCTTACTTCCGTATTTTAGCAGTAGTTTTGCTTAAAGGCCCCATCATTTTAGTGAAAAGTGTTTATTTAAATTTGTTTCTTTTGCATGCTTTGAACTTTAATTTAAAGAGTTCTGGAGAAATTTAATAATCATCGACTTAATAATTGTTGTGGGGTTTGCTGGACCATTGAAAAGTTACTGAACGGTCTCAGGACCATCAATCTCTACGTAGTTCGAATTTCTGTTGGATTTAGATATCTTTCTAATTTACATAATCTGGTTGAGATGCAGAGTTTAATGGTATAAATCACACTAGAAGTTTTTAGCTTACCTATGTAGCATGGGCAAAATTAAATCATCAACAACTTTGCTTAAGTTTTTAGACCCTTTGGTGTCAATCTTATTAGTCATGCTTAATTTTTTTTTGGTGATAAGATGTACAAAGTTGTTTGTGGCATGATAACAACTAATTGTCTCAAACATGTGAAGTTTAAGTTAGAGCTATCATTGTCTTATCTTCCAATAATCTACCGATAAGACTTGAACAAAAATGTAAATGTCTATTATGAATGTTCTTTTGGCTAATGCTAAAGTTTTTATTGTCTTTTGGGATTGTAAACATCCATCATGAATGTTCTTTTGGCTAATGCTAAAGTGTTTATTGTCTTTTGGGATTTTACTTATTTGGTTAACATTTTGTTCATGCAATGTTTAAAGGTTTGCAAACGACACAAGCAATATCATCAACAAATGCAGATGGTGATTTCAGCATTTGATTCGGTACCAGGGCTCAGCAATGCGACACCCTACATTTCACGTTCAATTAAGACTATCTCGAGGCATTTCAGGTGTCTGAAGAATGCAATTGCAGACCAACTCAAGCACATTAAGAGAGCTTTGGGCGAGGACCTAACTTCTCCTACCAGCTTTCTCAGGGGTGACAGTAGTAGCAGTTTAAGATATGATCAGAATTTTGCTAAGGTCAGATCTGGTGCCATTGGTGGAACGGGTCAAGTGGGTCACCAAAGCCATGTATGGAGACCACAGAGAGGCCTTCCGGAGCGTGCAGTTTCTATTCTTAGAGCATGGCTCTTTGACCATTTTCTTCACCCGTGAGTTTATGCCCCATCTTCTGTCATCTTTATAAGTTTCATTTGTAAAGTATTTGAGCTCAAGGGGCCTCAACATGCACGTTTGCAGGTATCCAACGGACAATGACAAACAAATGCTAGCTACCCAAACTGGCTTGACTCGAAACCAGGTGAGGAGGTATCCTACAGTTAGTGTTTATTAGTTGAACTGTGTGTTAGCAATATACTTCTATATTACTCACATTTAATATATATATATATATATTATTGGTCCAAAATGATGTGAATGTAGAGTCTTAATAACTTAGGTAAACTTATGACTCCCTCATTCAAAAACATAGTTTTTTGGCTACCCCCCTATTTTTGTCTCTTTACGACTTATTTATGTACTAATAATTCTCTTATTCCCATGGAAACTTGACCATCCCATAAAATGAAGCCCCTATGGCCTGGTTTCTTATAAGGTGTAGGTATTTCAGCACAAGGATAAGATAACGTAATTTTACACAACAAATTCATCTAGACATATCCTTAATTTATAGTGCCTTACATGAAGAACCACTTTAAGGTGAGATGTGGAAGTAATTTGCACTAGTGAAGATGCATCTCTTCTCTAAAAATCTCTAATATTTTCTATTCTCAAATCAGTAATTGTTTAGAATTACACTGCAAAGGTGATGTATAGGAAAAGACTCATAGATTTATTGGAGAAGTAATACAATCTATATATATATATATATAGTGGTTGAGAAACTCAATTTTTCTAATCAAAGTATACAGAAAGCTTGTGATTTCCTTCTTGTGTGGCTTGCATTAGTTCATGTTTAATAATGCAAAAATGTGTGCAGGTATCCAATTGGTTCATTAATGCTCGAGTACGGCTGTGGAAGCCTATGGTGGAAGAAATACACATGCTTGAAACCAAAGGCTCGTCACGTTCTGAGCCCAATTCAAACAACAGCGTAATGTCAATCATTGAGAAAAATAGACAGGCAACAGCAGCTAATCAATCAGGCTGCAAACCGTCGCCTTTAAATCCAGTATGTGATAAGCAGCTGGAATGCTTAGGACCATCAAGCTCCCTTGAAAGATCAACAGGTGAGCCAATAAACACAGAACAGCTTTTTCAAAATCAAAAGTGCTCGAGGCTTGAAAGTCACCAAGTTCCTACAAACATTGATAGTTCATTCATCGGGTTTTTGCCTTACCAAAGGCGGGGGCTTGAACTAGGAGGAATAGGTGCAGTATCACTTACTCTAGGTCTGCGGCATGGTTCAGAAACTACTCAGCAGCAACTTCAGCATCAGTTTATACCACAAGGGATGCCTTTCGGAGGTCACGTTATTCATGACTTTTCTGGCTAAGCCATCTCGGAAGCTAACAACTTCGAGGGAGGGGGTGGTCTGGCCTGTGTAGGCTATGTTTGTGCATAAAAGTAGGATCAGAAAGATAAATCAAGTTCCGAAAATGGTAGTTGTCCACCCACCAAGTTTCAGTAAAGCAATGGGTAGTACGACGACTCGAAGGTAGTTGCACACTTGAGGTAGTCACTTTCCAAGCTTAAAAATTAGCTTGTGGAGAAATCCTTAGGTTTTCAGGATGAAAATAGATGCTCCTGCTTAGTCAAATTCTGTTGTAAAAACTGCAAAGGTATAAAAGTGGAATGTTAATTGCACACAAAAATTTCTCTAGTTATTAAGGTAAAAGTAAAGGAGGTTGTTACTCAAATTTTGTTGTTGTCAGCAGATGAGTAATTGTATCCTTGGAAATGAAATGTCTTTTCTGGATTCAGCAAATTTTGTTGTAGTCAGCAGATTGAAAATTGTAATTCAGTCTATTTTCTGGAACGTGAGAAGGTTGCTTGATGGTTGGTTAGACTTTCATTTCTCACTCTCTATGGTGCTGTAATGAATTTCTTAGTTGCAACCTTTCTATATTTGGGCCTTGCATATTTTCAATAGGAAAAAAAAAAAAATAGAATGTACTTGTATAAAAAGTTGTTATCTTTGAAACTATATGCTGGGACTTGGGAGTAGTATGATAGGTATTTACATGACTGTATATTTTGTCACTTATGAATCACAAAAAAGGGGTCGTTTGGTTAACATAGGAAGTGAAAATTTAAAATTCCCAAGAACTTCTAATATATGGAGATTAAATTTCATAATCAAATTCAAGGGAATGTCTAAAAGTTACTCGTATTTGAGTAGTAATGAGGGACAACTTACCTAGGGGAGACTAGGTAAGTAAATTTTTACATTTTGTGAGAATTGAAAATTTTTACGAAGTTTTACTTCCCTTATTTTTGCTATTATGTGTCAACCAAACAACTTTTCAATTTATCAAATTCCATAAATTTTCAATTCCTCCATTTTATGTTGTCTACCAAACAAGGCTAAAATTGTGAAATATGTGTAACCACGGAATAGAATGGAATCTATTAACTATTACCAAAACAAAACATTGATGATGTCATTAATTTTTTAAAGTGCTTACGTGTCAAACTCTCATAAAAATATTTTCCCTCCAAATTTTACCTATGATGTCACCATTTTTTTTTTTTTTTTTTTTTTTTTTTTTTTTTTTTGTCTTTTCTAGCTAGAAACTAGGACCAATTAGGTGTGAAATTTGAATTTGACATCAATATTATTGTATATACTCCACACTACTTTTGGATATTCATAATACAACAATATTAAATAGACATAGATATTGATAGCTGATTATACACTTTTTTTTTTTTGAACAAATTAATACACATTTTTTAAATTTTTTTTAATAGTAAATACACATTTATTTAACTTCCACTCTAAACGTATAAGCTTAACGAATTATATATTTATACAACATTAATATATTTAATCTAACCATCATTTTAGTATATTTTTAATAACATAGTAAATATTACATTATGATGCAACATTTTATAACTAATTTTTGTAAGTACATGTTTTTTTTATATATATATTTATATAACAATTTTTTTTTTAAAAAATAACGAGCCAAATCATATTAGAAAGTTATAAATAACAAAAGATAAATATTTATAGAAAAATTACTAATCAACCACCATGCAAAGCACGAGTACTAATCTAGTGATGCAACTAAGAAAACAGTAGAATTATTACAAATCTATCTATCTATAAATATTACTAAAGTAATGACCGCTAATGTCATCACTGTTTACGTGTCACTCTCTTATTTAATATTCTTTTTGAGCTACCCTATTTAACATTGCTTTGAAAATTAAATTCAAATTGAATTTTAAATATTAGGTATCTACATACATTATGCTATTTAGTTATTTACGAGTAGTTGTTAACAATAATTAATAATATAATTTAATTGATTTTTCCTAATTTAATATGAAAATAATGGATATTTGGAAATTGTATTTTCATTTCTTATTATAAAACCATGCATCGCATGGGACTAACCTAGTCATGAAATCAATTAGGCCCCGTTCACCTCACCTTATTTTTGCTGAATTGAAATTATATTTACTGAACTGAAATTATTTTTTTGCTGAACTTAAATTATTTTTATTGAACTAAAATTAGTTTTACTGAATTGAAATTATTTTTGCTGAACATACATTTTTACTGATTATCAATTATATTTTCTTCTTTCAAATCACTGAATTTTACTAAACTAAAATTATTTTTACTAAACTAATTTTTTTTTTACATAACATCATTAAGGCATGAATATTGATGGGATTAAACAAGTATATGTGATTGCTAAACACAAAACATATTGATTTGGCCCTTCATCTGTAGGAATCAAAAGTTATACTCATGTTGCATATTGGTTGATCTGTTTTGAAATTTGAGATAGGGTTAGGATCCGGTGAGAATGAAGCATGCTTATTGTGAGCAAGTGAGAAGTAGAGATACATCAAAAATTCAAAAGTGTATAATAGATACATCAAAAATTCAATAGTGTATTATAGATACACTATAGATACATCAAAAATACATTATAGTTTAGAGATACGACATAAGAAATACATTATAGCTATATTATAGATACAATAGTGTATATATATGTTCCAGGTGTGGATCCAAGGGTTCTTCTGGGTGAGCTGGGTCCCGTCAACAACCAACACATGGCAGCACATGTAAACTGCCCTCGGGGGTGGTTCGAGGAACCCCCCTCCGAAGCTTAAGTTAGAGAGTGTTTAGAGAGAAAAAGTGTACTCAGAGAGATATAGAAAGTGTAATAACTTGAGTGTCTCACCTCTTTTCCGCTGTACCTTACCCTCTATTTATAGGCGTACTATTTACTTTATGGAGGGTCCAGCCTGGTCAGTCCTGCGGGCTGACTCCATCGGGTTGGAGAGCCCTTCTTAGCTACTTTCTCGGTAGTGAGTGCGCACCCTGAGGGCTGGGCGATAGTTCAGCGGGAGCTATCCTATACAACTAGCCCCTCAAGAGGTGGTATGAGGTCACTCATGCCGACTCTTTATATGCAGGTACAGTCTTCTTAACTGAGCCCAGTTGAAAGGAATAGCTCAGCAGGAGCTATCTGCTACAACTAGCCCCTCAAGAGATGGAGTGAGGTTTATTCATGCCAGCTATTCTGAGCGTATAGCCTAACCGGCCGTGGCTCAACGGGTCATCCAGCCAAATTAACCTGCACACTCCTAGCCCCTCAAGTCTCTAGGGTGTTGATGCGACCTGGAGACTTGGGAGGTCAGGTGCTGATCTTGGTGGCTATGTTATCGTACCATTTGTATTTTGAAGATGGCTCTTTTTCTAAGAAATGACGAGCTCGCGAAGAGGAATTTCGATCACTCCCGCTGAAGTTTGTGTGTTTTTTTTTTTTTTTTTTTTTTTTTTTTTTTTTTTTTTTTTTTTTGCGGGAACAGTATTTGCATGAGTGGGACATGTGTTGATGATCCAGGCCGTCATTTTGAATTTACTGAAGTGACATGGCTGTTTGGCTTTGCTTCGTTTCTACCTGCCCTTTACTTCGTATTAAATTCACTGTCCCCCGCTTTTAACTCATTTCTTTTACTTCCCTTATTTTTTCATCTTCCCCTCTTTATTACTTTTTTTTTTCCTTCAAAATCTTCGCTCTTTATTTCTCATCTTCAGGTGCTCGTGTTCTTCCATTGTTGTGGTAAGTTTCCGCTTTCTTCGTCTTCGTTTTTGCTTCAACTTTCTGCCATACTCGCCTTTCTCTTTTATTTCTTCGCTCTTAATTTTTTACTAATTTGTTTCTTCTTCTGTCTCTCTCTCTCTTTTTTTTTAACTGCAGTTTCGAACTTTGCTTCTTTTAGGCTTTTGCGTCCGCCATTATTGTTGTACTGTAGACACCTAAATGTGTCTCCCCAAAACCAAACCCAGTGATGAGTACCTTTCGCGCCGAATCATAATCGAATAAAGTGAAAGTGCGGAAAGTTTAGTGTTGCGGATAGTTTTAATTTCTTTTCTCTTCTTTCTGTTTTTGAAAACTTATTTTAAGAAAACAGCCAATCCAGTTTGGTTGGTCCATGATATGGGTCCAATAGTAGTGTAGTTGGATGGGGCTTGACAAGAGCTTTTCAACGATGTATTATAAGCCCAATTCCGATGAATACTGAGGAAGTTATGGCCAATTTACTAAACTGGGCCCGGTTTGAGCCTTATATACGGCCCAATGATCTAGAGGAGGGCCTAATATGATTTATCATTTCTAATGCAATTAGGAATGGTTTTAGTCTTCTAAATTCTTCTAGAAGGTTCTTTTCATTCCTAATTCAATTAGCATTGATAAATTGATTTTTGTTGACTTTTCAGAGTTTTAATTAAAATCAAAGAGCATTTTTTGAGGAAAGATACGATTTTATCCTCCTGTACGGCAATATTTATCTGATTTTAGAAAACGCGTGAAATTATGAAATAAGGGCCAAACGCCAGCTGTAGCGCCTGGCGCCTGGCGCCAACAGCCAGCGTTGGCGCTGGTTCGTTTTTCTGTGCGCCAATGCTCTGTTTTAATAATTTTATCTTTTTGACTGATTTTCTCTATAAATAACGTCGTAAAAACTCCGTTTTCATTCACCAATTCTCATCAACATTCATCTACATTCACATACAACGAGTTTTCATTCATCAATTCTCGCACCCATCTCTCTCTTTCTCTTTTTCTAAACTCGCTTTTCAAATACAAAACTCCGCATTCATTAGATTTAGAAACACCTAGCCATATTCGAAGTTGCCTTCGCCCTAGACGTGAAAGGTTTAATTTCTGAGGGTTTGGTCCCAAATCTCTCTTTCAATTATTTAATTTAATTGTTTGTTTATTATTTTCCTTGAAGTTACTAACGTGTGTATTTTGTTATTAGAAAGAGGTACGAGGCATCTAAGTAAGTACTTTAATGGTTTTATTGATGTTATGATGTAGAAATCATGTTTAGATTGTTATTTTGATTCCTAGTATCATGTCTAGGGTATTTTTAATATTAAATATGATTGCTATGATGCCTTTTATTTTCTTCCTAATATTTATGATTGTTAGTATCATGTCAGGGCTAAAGATTTGATTTTTATTGCTTAGTGACATGCTAGGGTTTGTTATTAATCTTGTTAGTATCATGCCTAGGGTCTTGCTATTTTTATTATGCTTTAACATGAACATGTTTATTTCTATGATTATAATTAATTATTATAATTTTATGATTGTTATAATTATTATTATGATATTAATTTTAATTATGGTTGTTATGATCATCATTATTTTAATTATTATTATTATGATTATTATTATGTTGCTTGATATTTATTGTTATTGCTTGATCACGCCTTTTTATGCATGTTTAAAGGGAATTGGTACTTGTAATCACGCTTAATAAGATAATTAATAATCTTGTTTAGGTTTAATTTGGTTAAATTCAAGTGATCGCGAATACTAGATTTATTTGTGCATTAATATTCAACCAACATAGATAAACAGGTTTAGGGTTAATCCTATTGATTGCATGTTAGTCAGAAAGCGCACATGAATACGATCA